GGGAGGGGAACGAAGCTAAGGCATTTCGCAGTTGTGGTTGTTATCATGTTGCATCGCCTTCCCGCCATGGGTGTGGACACTTGTTGTCGGGGCATCGTTATGAGGGCCAAATCAGCATTCCCGTCAAAATCTGTATCCGGAGTGGGGCACATTGCAAGCATCATCTTGGCATGCTCATATTCCCCTGCATGCTGAATCATTTCATCGTTCCGACGCGCTTTGACATGTTGGGAAGCCGTGATGCTGGCCGTATTTGTGAACCCGCTGGCGAGCATCCTAGCAACCACATTTTCACTGCTCGAATCGTTCCGCGTGCTGGAATGCCAAGTGCTATCTGGTAGGTTTTCGGTAATTGTCTGAGCCCCCCCTCCCTTCGGGAAGCGCATAGGGGCATGCACCACCCACCACCCCCTCTTCCCGAGGCAACGATCCCTCGCAGAATGCGACCGACTTGCACTCCCGAGGCCCAGATGTCGCCAAGACGGCCCAATATCGCTCCAAGAGGAACCACGTTGGCCTCACGATGGCCTAAGACGGCCCGCGAGGCCTTCGAAGCGTCCCAAACGAGCCCCAAATAGCCTTCCCAAGAGGGCCTCGAGAGACAATCATCAGTGAGTACCCTTGGGTGTTTCCATGGTTCTGGGGCTCTCGCCTCTTCGACCTTCCGACGTCTCAAGACGGCCCCAGAGACCCCCGGGAGAATACCAAGACTGCCTCCAAGAGGGCCCCACGACGGTCCTGGACGGTTCCAGCACGACCCAATTGGCGCCCATGACTGCCAAAGAGGGCCCCAACACGGCCCCGAGAAGGACCCAAGAGGAGGGATACGAACTGACATCTCGAGCCTTCCCCCCTAGAAAATGCCCAGACAAAAAAAAAGGTCCCCCAAAAGGTAAACATCAAGGATGTTCCTGAAGCGTTTCCGTGTGATCGGGTTCTCGCCTTGTCCAGCTTCCGACGCTCCAAGACAGCCCAAGAGGCCCCAAATACTGTCCCAAGACTGCTCAAGAGTCCCCCACGAGAGCTCCAAGACGACCCTAGACGGCTCCAAGACGGCCCAAGGAGCGCCCGAAACGGAGACAATGCTGGCGCGAGGAGGAAGACAACGACGAGGAAGCGGACGCTGAAACTATAGGCAAACGCGTCAACGATGTATTCCGCCGAACGCGCTGCCACCAGGAGGGGAGGAGAGGGAGGGGAGCCAGGCCAACTTATTGCAAAGGCAATGCGTCAGAGTGAGGGGGCTGAAACGAACGGTGATTCACTGTCTCTGGGCGCGTGGGTGAAAAGGAATTCCACGATGCGGGTTTTTTTGTGATGTTGTTGTTGCTACTTGTTGTTGGTTGTCGTCGTCCCACCCGCGACCCACCCCGCGACCCACCCGCGACCCACCCCGCGACCCACCCGCGACCGCCCGCGACCCACCCGCGACCCACCCCGCGACCCACCCGCGACCACCCCGCGACGCACACGCGATGAGCGACCCGCCCGCAACCCACCCCGAGACCCAACCCGCGACCCACCAGCGACCCACCAGCGACCCACCCGCGACCCGCGACCCACCCGCGACACACCCCGCGACCCACCCGCGACCCGCCCGCGACACACCCACGACCCACCGCGACCCACCCGCGACCCACCCCGCGACCCACCCGCGACCCACCCGCGACACACCCGCGACCACCCGCGACCCACACGCGATCCACCCCGCGACCCGCCCGCGACCCACCCCGCGACCCTCCCCGCGACCGTTTGTGCCCGGACAGAACACCTGAGCGACACAACCCGAACGGAAGTGCCCGAGGTGCCTGCGTGAATTCACACGCAGTCGGACCTCGCAACACGAACGGCGGCACGGACCGCCCCCGGCGTTATCCGCGCCGCCGTTGCGAGGTGCCTCGAGATGCCACCCCGAGACACGGCCACCGGCACCACCCCCACTTGGCCGCCGGCCTCAAGCAGCGGAGGTCCCGCTGCCCAAGGACTTAAGTTCCCGCGCCCCCCACGCTGGGGGACCCCTTCGAGTAACCCCATCGGGCCTCTCAGGGGTGGTACGGCGGGCCCGCACCGATTGTGGCTGGCCAACCACAGGGCAAGAGTCTCTCCCACAGCCCCGTCGAGCTGTGGTGACGATCGGGCTGCCAACCCGCCTGTTTTCCTGGGACGCCACGAGGGCACCCAGCGGCACAGGTGCCCCCACCCCGCGACCCACCAGCGACCCACCGGCGACCCACCCGCGACCCACCCGCGACCCACCCCGCGACCCACCCGCGACCCACCCGCGACCCACCCACGACCCGCCGCGACCCACCCGCGACCCACCCCGCGACCCACCCTGAATGTTCGGCGCCTGCGGCGGGCTTCTTTTGCATTCGTTCCAAATGGAGAACCTGCGACCCAACCGCGACCCAAACCGCGTTCAGTGTACAAACCAAAATGTTCGGCGCCTGTGGCGGGTTTTTTTGAATCCCTTCCAGGTGGAGGTGGAGAGCCCGCGACC